GCACAGCCAGCACCTTGCAGATAATGTATTAATGTTCTCTTAATAGCTCAATATCTAGTCTGGTTTCCTCTCATCACAACTGTAGTGGTCTGAACAAAGCGATTCTGTGAAAGCATTCCCTGTGTGGCCATTTTGAGGAGAAAACATTTTAGCAATATTCTCAGTTCAGACTCTGTTCTTTAAAGTGAATATGCATTTCTACCAGTTGGAGACTTTGATGGGTTTTACCCTAAATGGACTTTCCCATGGAGCAACTTAGAAACACTGAGTTAATTTTCAATGGCACTGATTTCTTAAAAATATACAAATGATTTTTCTGATCTTGCTTATTTTCTTGTTCTAAAACAGGTTATACATTTCCAATATGTGTCTTAACTTTGTGGATCTAAGAGTTGTGTGCGATAACATTGCTACTCCTTGGTTATTGTACCATCTTGACATTGCCTCCATTGAAAGGCTTAGTCTACTGTTTTTTAATTTCTCCCCATTCAAACCTTCATAACATGGCTCTAATGTACCAGATGTTTCAGCAGAATGCAACTTCAACAGGGTCTAGCTGAGACAAAACTATCAACAGATAGAGATCTCCTGGTTGTGATAGCAAAATGTTGTTTTACATATCTTTTAGCTATATTAGTGGGGTTTTTATATGATTATGATTATAGCAAATTAAATAACATCTCTTAAGGAAAGTTGCACTACAAATATGTACACATGTAAACTTATACTATATAAAGTACATACATAAATTACAGCTTTCAGTTTTTAAAGTTAGGATAAAATTATTACTTTCAATTTTTCTTGAGAACAATAATCCAAAGATTTTAAAAATTCAGAGTATATAATTTAAATCAATGTTGGCAGAGGAGACTAGTTATTATTATTTAATTAAAAACAGTTATAGATTTAGAATGAACAGCATACATTCATTGTTAGTATATGTTGCAGCTGATTTGACATTTAATTTTTTAAAGAATATTTAAAAGGACTGATCAAATTCATCAAAATAGAATTTTCTAGATGTTTATAATTATATAATTGTTATCCAAATGAAAGATAAAGTTTATTCCAACCATAGTTACATTTATTAAACTAACGTCAAATAAATTCTAAGGTTCTTATTAAGTTGAAATTATATTCTTATACTACCTAGCCAACTATCTGCTATTTCTTAATTGACAAATTACAAAAGCATTCATTTAAATGTCCATATTTTACCTCTCTTTTATGGCCTAGAGCATGCCACTAGGCTTCATTAATAAATATGTTTATTTCACCACATTAAAGAAACATACTGCAAAGAAGCATATGACTATAAAAAATATACATTTTTTTACACAAAATATCCTGAAATTGCTGATGCCTAATACTTTATAATTATCGACATCATATGTCTCTCTATAAAATGGGGAAAAAACTGAAATTAAAATTTTATGCAAGTATGAGTCTTCCAGAAAAATAACTTTATACAAGGTATATGACATTATTTTGGTAAAGAAATCATTTGTACTATAAGAAAATGACATATTCCTCCAAAACATATAAAACAAAATTAAAATGCATGACATGTTTAAAAAAGATTGCTAAAACCTTCTTCTTGGTGAATGATGCTTGATCATGATATTTAAGGATTCACTATATATATATGTATATATATATATATGTGTGTGTGTGTGTGTGTGTGTGTTTGTGTGTGTATACATACATATATATATATAACAACAAAATGAAATATTATCTTGCTACAAAACTAAAATTAAATTTTTCTGTCACTTAAAATGACAAAAAGAGTATAAGATTTTTTCTCCTGTCAAAAGATATTATAATTTCAGTTTTTCTTGTTTTCTGTGTAAAATACCTAAAATAATAAGAATCTTCCAGAATATTTTTAGACTTTATTTTAACCTCCTAATCAATTATTAACAGACCATAATACCTAAATACTGCTCATTTTTATATTAAAATGTCTAAATCAAGCCAAATTCCATGTTTTAAATTTTAAATGCATTTAGTTTACTGTAGTATAACTGAAAAGGTAATGATACAATGTTTAAATAGATTAATATTATCAAAGAAATGTAAAAACCTTAAACCTAGATGGGCTAGGACCTGGAGCCAGTGCCTCTTGCCTATTACTCCAGGACTGAAGTTCTGAGGGACCAGGAAGATTGAGTTGGGGAAGAATAGAGGACAGCAAAAAAAGAGATACCTTAATAGAAGAGCCATTATGGACTTAAAGAGTAATCTGGCACTAGGTTAATGTCCAGAGAAATAAAAGGATGACCACAACTAAGACTCTAAGCAATAGTGAAGCGGCTGCCTTAAATGCCCTTCCCCAATAATGAGATTGATGCTACCGTATTTGCCATCCTAGAGCCTTCATCCAGAAACTGATGGAAGCAGAAGCAGAGACCCACAGCTAAACACTCAGTCAAATTCCTGAAATCCATTAGAGATCAAGGAGTGATGAGCAAATGCGTCAAAACCAGCCTGAGAAATCCCACAGAAACAGCTGACCTAAATAAACAAGGGGGAACTCATGGACTCCAGAGTGAGAGCTTAAAAACCAGCATGGGGGGAACCAGGCTACCTGAACATGGGTGTTAGGAGGCTTGGGCAGACTTCTGGGTCTGTGGTAGTGGACCAGTATTTATCCCTAGTGCATGAATGGACTTTGGAAATCTATTCCCCATACAGGGATACTCTATCAGCCTAGACACATGAGGGAGGGCCTGGGCCCTGCTCCAAATGATGACAGACTTTGATGCTTCCCCATGAAGGGTCTCATCCTTTCTATGGAGCAGAAGAGGGATAGGATGAAGGTTGGTGGGGGGGGAATGGGAGGATGGGAAGGAGAGGGAACTGGTATTGATATATAAAATAAGGTTGTTTCTAATTTAAATTTTAAAAAGGGGGAAAAAGGAGAAATCAAGAGATGTAGTTCAAATTGCAAGATCAACAGACAGGAGACAGCTGATTTTTCAAAACTGATTAACAAATTGAGAAGAGGACACTAGGATTGTCATGATTCAGAACTGTGAAGAAGCCAAAGTCCTCTGGAGGAAAGCTTTGGTCTTTGATTTGCAAAGAGAACATTCTTTATAAATGTGTCCTCCATTGACTTCTTAAGTGATTCTGTGCACTCCATTTTTTTTCTCCTTTCTTTGGCAGATACTCAACTCTAGAGAAACTTCCTGCAATTTAATGAATGATCTTATTCACCAGGTCTCAGGACATGTCCTGAATGAAAATAGCACTTATGAAGCTAATTAATAAAGCAGGCACCTTGCTGTGTGCTCCAATTCTCCTTTGGTGTGTCTCCAGATTTAGGAGAGGGACTGGTCTGAACTCATTCACAAGCATTTTGAAAATGTGCTCAGTTGAAGCATGTATACTTAGAAGATCCCTATTCATACATTAAAATAATTACTATGCAATGTATGGTTCAAGGCAATCTTCCCCAAGACAGACATTTTCTTCAGTGTAATGAAGTAGATACACTGATTTGCTATCACTATGAAGTAAATTCAGACAGAAAGATGACAGAAAACCAAAGGTTTATAATAGACAAAGACAAATATCAGCAACTCTCCTACAGTGTTGGTAAATACTATAACTTGTATGTATACACATTCACACAGTGAAAAAAATTATTTCCATGGATGATTTTAATTTTTCACATGTATTAAATAATCTTAGAGGTTGGGGTTGTGAAAAAAAATGGCTTAAAGAGAAAAAGTTAAGAAAGATATTCTTTGAAAAATGAAAACATTACTGATAACTGTGTGACATTGCTGTCATCAACAGAAACTGCATATTGATGATTCTAAGTAGGGTCACATTTTGGGAAATTCTTTGCCAGCTAAGCTACAGAAATATTCGGTTGTTCATAGCAATATCTAGTTTCTATTGTCAGTTCCCATATCATTTTATTTTTGTTTTTGTTTTTGTTTTCCCAAGAGCCAATGTTACATTTTAGTTATTGTGCCTAAGAGATTCTTAAGAAAAAAAAAAAGAAAAAGAAAAGGAAAAAAACCCTACAATTCCCTTGACCAAGACAGATACTTCCTGATATGCTATTGTTTATTGACGATAACAAGCCACATGTGAAATTTCACTACTTTAAACAAATCTGTTTGACCCAACTACACTAGATGTGCTCGATCACATGTATGAGGAAGGTAAGAAGCCAAGACATATGTTAAGATATATGCTTGCCCATGACTGGATAAAGGCAGGATCTTTGTAGACAGGAATTAATCAGGATATATGCGTATCATTGATTGAATCTTATGAATTTGCCTTTATAAGGATCTGCAAAATGCGACTCCTCATTTTTTGGGAACCATGGAATGCACCTAGCTAGAGTCCATCATTCTGGCCAGCATATAATTAAAGCTTGCTCCAATTTGGCTTAAAAAATTGTGGTAATGGAAATAATGGCTGGTGCAGAAGCTAAAACCCATGCTAGCTAAGCACTCTATCTGAAACTGACTTTTAAAGAACTTGCTTAACACTGAACAAAATTAAACAGATGACTTTACTTATGATCACTAAGTAGTACCAAAAGCCTTTTGTTTTAAATCCTGCTATACATAGAGCTTTGGACTTCCTCTCTTTTATTCCTTCTTCTTTTCTTATTTTTGAAGTGCTCTCTTATGTAGCCCATGGGGCCTCGAACTCCTACTACTGCCACAGTCTCCAAAATTCTGACGTTTTAACAATGTACCACTAAGGCTAGTAATATTTCTATTGTTCAGTTCTGATAGATCATCAATGCGATAAAGACACAAGCCTCATTCCTAAGTCAGAGCTGACCTAAAGGCTTTATATTTTACTTTCTTACATACTACCATAGAAGTTCTTTGAAACAATGAGCTGGATGTTGTTCATCATATAGGTAAAGAGTAAAAGTTGATGAGTGTGTTTATTCTGAGAGTTTCACTGGTATAAGTCACCATCTTCAAGATAATAACTTTATCCAATTTTAAATATCTTACTACTTCTCTCAGGCCTCAGCAGTGCTTTGGTCTTCTTATTTTGACTTCCACTCTCATGAAGGGCCTTGAACCAGTCGCGAAGTCTGTTTGCCACTTCTCTGAATTCCAGGTCACTGCAGGCTAAAGAAAGAGAAATATGCATTTAATAATAGCAAAAAAAAAAAAAAAAAAAAAAAAAAAAAAAAAAAAACACTAACGGATTACTGGATAGTTTCCTTCTGAAACACTCCACTTCTCAGTTCCCTTGGTGGAATGCAGAAATAGTTTCTGCTTTTGGACGGGGCTCATCTTTGCCTATAGGCATTCTGGTTATCCACACACTTGGGTGACAAAATGCCCCCTCACTGTGAAGAGACATGGTCCCACTTAAAGTCAGACCAAGCCTCCCTTTCTTCCTACCGTTACTTCTTAAGTAACCTAACATATGATGCTAAACCTTGGAAGGGTTCTGAAGCCTTTGCCTCTAGCAGGAATCTCTAAGATTATATTTGAGGTCCCCATGTCCCTTCATGGCAACCATTTTCTCTCAGGAAGCCTTCTTTTCACTGACTGCCTCTGACCTTTTTCTTTCACCTTACTCTCTTGCCTAACTGTCTGACCTAGGTAGGAGGCCAAGCTGTAATCACACACAGATAACATAGCAAAATGTTGGGACAAGGTAACCTGTTGGGCCTGATTCACAGGTGCCCTTGTTAGATCTGGGAGCTCAGTGGTGCTGTCTTCTGTAAGGCCAGGTCAGCCAAAGGTGCAGAAGACTTACTGGGGCTATGACTATAAGGATTTAGTCATTATGCTGGCCTGCCCCTGTCACCTGGCAGAGTGCACCCAGGCAGCCCTCTGGTCAGCCTAGGTTCAAAGGACCCCTTTAAAAGAAAGACCTCTTCCCACTTATGCTCCCTTTCCTTGCTTTCTTTTTTGCTATCCTCTATTTTCTAGTTCTCTTTTCAGCTCCTTCCTTTCTTCTCTCTCTTTCCTTGTTCCTCCTCTTTCTCTGCTTCTCCTCTCTTTCGGCTCTCTTTTCCAGCTCTCTTGCCTGCTCCTCTCTTTCCCGCAGTTCTCCTTGGGCAGACAGGACTTTTCTCGTCTCCCTCTTCTCTGTCTCTGTGTTTCTCTCTTCTCTTTCCTCCCCTTCCCCCTTCTAATAAAACTTAAGCTCTTTCTGCCTGGCATGTTTGTCCCTCTGCCCCAGTCATCTGCCCAACATTGAATCTGCCAAGTGCTCCCACACAAAGTTGTCCCCCATGCAAGGTTTCCCACACTTTATCATAACAATGACAGCACTCATTCAGCTGGAAGCTCTGATAATCTTCCATTGTTCCTGCAGGTCTTTACACTTGGGACTGTCCATTAGGTTGGAGACACCCTTTATTACCTGGTATGTTGAGTCATTTTGAGACATAGGAGATACTCTACATAACTGGTCAAAGATTCTAAGAGGTTTACACCAAAACCCTCAGAACCTTTCACTTACCTGACAGTCTAAGGTCTGGGGTTCACTGGAGCTCCATAATTGAAATGGCCACTGCTGGCACGAAATTGTACCTTAAATTAGTGGTTCTCAACCTTCCCAATGCTACAAGTCTTAATACAGTTCCTCACATTGTGGTGACCCCAACCATAATTTTTGTTTCTACTTCATAACTGCAATTTTGTTCCTATTATAAATTGCAGTTAAAATACCTCATATGCAGGATATCCGATATGCAACTCCCGTGAAAAGGTCATTTGACCCCCAGAAGTGGTTGTGACCTCTAGGTTGAGAACCACTGATCTAAACAGATTCAAATAACTCCATAAGATTAAATGGTAGCCTGGCATGAGGTCCCCTCCCCACAAAACTCATAGTTCACTCTAAGCTTACAACCACACCCAGAGCCAGAAGGCTCACTGTTTCAGTTGGTCCTCCAAACTTGGGTCTTCACAATTATTTCTGACTGGGGTAGCAGCATAGGACTCTTTTACCCTATGTCTCTTTTGCCTTATGCTTTTGCTTTGGTCTACTTGTGTTTCTGTTCCTCCAAACCTGGGAAATCCTTGCTTGCATATTTAGCAGTTAAGAAATAAAAGCATTTCTGGTTGGCTGCTCCCATCTATAGTCACACACATACTCTTTATGGATATGTAGATGATTGGATCCAGTCTTACAGAGATTCAAATGTCTTTGATAAAACTAAGACTCATAAAAACTGTAAACATTTGATCTTTGTTAGGCTTTATAGAATTTGAAGAAACCAAGTCATATAAAAAAACTGGAACTTTGCAAAAGAACATTAAAAAATCTAGTCTCTTTATGGACTATATTTATAATTTAAACTTTTTTTTGATACCAAAGAGTTGGCTTTAGCCTTCTATGTTATTTGTGCATGTTATTTGTGAGGGATTTGACATTTGGCTGATTTCATCTTCATCTATTGGTTGAGTGTATAGAATAAAAATATAGAGATTTTTAAAAGGTTATATTCACAGGGTAAGTTTTAGAAAACCTTGTAAAATGAATCATTTATTCCTAAAATTATTGTCTCTGACTTGGCTAGTAGACTATTCTAGATTGTTCTAGAGATGTGCCTTTTGAGGTAAAAGCATGACAGTTAAAGGCCTCTGTGATTATTTTTTTTCTTTATTATTATTATTTTTTCTTATTTTACATATCAACCCCAGTTACCTCTCCCTCCCTCCCATGCCACCCAATTCCAGTCACAAATAATTAAAAGTAATTTCTTATGTGAGAATATAATTTGGAATTATATTGTCTTTTTATGCAGCTTGCATTTTACTATATGATATTGGAATTTAAATACAACAATTTGATGCTAACAAAATGATTTTAAACACTATAGCTATATAAGGTAATAGTCTCATTTATTAAAACTTTTACCTCCTCATGAAATTTTATTATATTTGAGGTACTCCATTTTTGTTCATTACATAATAACTGGTGTTGTTAATATTTAAAACAAGTATACAAAGTTTATCACCTACAAACAGGGAATATCTGCAAACAGACATTTTAGATGCTGTGGAGAGAATCTGGCTAAAAAGACCTTCATCTCTTTCACTGTAGATGAGTTACTACCAGTTAGTTCTCTCCTTTTTTTTTATTTTCCCCCTTCCTTTGATGCTCTGCAGCTCTCTGCCTCTTATGCCATCTTATTTTAGTGTAATAGTCTTGGCAAAAGCACAAGCCATTGTTACTCTGAATCAATTCTATGGTCACTTTATTTCACTGGCCCCTTCTGTCTTCTTCACCTCTGTTCCCTCATATCCCTCTGCTTTCCTAGGAGAGGTCTTAGTTTTATTCTGTACCCAAATGATATGCTTTCAGCCAACATCAATTTAATGAAGAAAAAAAATAAATTACATTAAAATGAGGAACAAGGCAAAGGTGACCTTTCTCTCCCTACATACCTGCTTAATATAGTCTCAGCTAGAGCAACAAGACAACTGAAGATCAAGAGAATTCAGATAGGAAGGGAGAAAGTCAAAATAACTTTATTTGCAGATGCTATGACTGTATATATAGGGACCCTAAAATTCATCCAGGAAAGTCTATAACTGACAAACTCTTGGCAAAGTCCCAGGCACAAAGTTATTACACAAAAACCAGTAGCCTTCCTACATACAATAGCCTCAAAAAGAAGTATAAAATATCTTGTGGTGACACCAAAAAGGAAGTAAAAGGCTTATACACTAAAAAGGAAGTAAAAGGCTTATATAATAAAGTTTTATGAAATATAAATAGAAGAAGCTATCAGATATGAAAGATCTTCCATGCACATGGCTCTATAGGATTAATATACCAACAGTAGTCATCCTACCAAACACAATCTACAGATTCAATGAAATCCTCATGAAATTAACATAATTCTTCACAGACCCTTTAAGGACAGTCTTCAGCTTCATATGGGAATGGACACACACAGACAAACTGAGGATGTTTGATAAATTTCTGAGTGATTTAAAAAGCAAAACTGCTAGTTATTACAATCCTGACCTTAAATTGTCCTACAGAGAAATAGTAATAAAATCAGTATGGTATTGACATAAAAGCACATACATTGTGCAATTGAATCAAATTGATGTCTCAGATGTAAATTCACATACCCAAGGAACCTAATTTTTATAAAGAAGCTAGAAATGCATACTGGGTAAAGAAAATATCTTTCTAAAGAGATGCTGGTCAAACTAGAAGGCTGCATGTAGAAGAATCCAAAGAAATCTATACTTAGCATGTTTTACAAAATTCAACTTCCAATGAATGATAATTCATTAATAAATGGAACCCTATGAAATTGAAAATCTTATGTATAGAAAAATAGGATAACATCATTCAGACAAAGCAGAAGCCTAAATATTTGAAAAGATTTTTTTCCAAGTCCACATTCAGTAGAGGACTAATATCCAAAATATATAATGTGTCAAAAGTGGGCATCAAGAAAACAAATAACCAACCTAGGAATTGGTGGCCCACATCTTTAGTCCCAGAACTTGGGAGGTAAAGGCAAGTGGATCTCTGTGAGTTTGAGGCCAGCCTGGTCAGCAGAGTGAGTTCCAGGCTCCAAAGCCAAAGAGAAACACTGTCTTGGAAAAAAAGAAGAAAGGAAAAGAAAGAAAAAGAAAACAAATAACCCACTTAAAAATGGGGTACAAATCTAAACAGAGAAATCTCCAAAGAGGAAACTCAAATGCCTAAGAAGCTCTTAAATTATGTTCAACATCCTTAGCCATGAGGAAAATGTACATCAAAACTACTTTGAAATTTCATCTTATATCTGGCAGAATGGCTAAGATCTGCATAACAAATCACAGCTCATGATTGTGAGGATGTTGAATAAGTGTTAGAATTGTGAGTGTCAAGTTATAAAGCTACTATGGAAATCAGTGTGGCAGTTCCTCAGAAAAATGAAACTGGATCTACTTCAATATTAAGCTACACTACTCAAGAGCATATAGCTGAAGGATAATTCATTCTACTGTAGCAACTTGCATCCACATTCATTGCTGTTCTATCCATAGTAGCCAGAAATCAGAAGCAGTCTATAAGTCTGTTGATAAATTGATAATGAACACATAACATGGATAATGAACACCCAGAGATAGATATTGGGGTTCCAACTGAATAT